AAGTCACGAAAACCGTGTTGAGAAGAATTAACGACTACAAGCGAGGCTAAATCTATAGACTTTCGGATGCTTCGTAGAGACAGATATAATTCCTGACAAAATACACTGTTAAAAAATCTCATTTGCAATTGTGTGAAGCGCTACGTAAAATCTTCGTAATCAATAACAAACACGTCATTTGTAAATAACCCAAGTCAACGATCGACAACGAAAAACAACGTTGTACGTTCGCTGGTAAACTTGCACACACTCTCTGCGTGTGAGGCTACTCACTTGTCCGCCGCTGGATATAGGCTCTAACGCCGGCTCCATCTCTGCGTTTAGAAGTTCCGTCTCGTCGGCCGACATCGGCTTTGCCAACGTCGAAATGTACAGAGCAAGCAGCAGAATCTGAAACGTCAGGAGTAGGAGTGCATCACTCATGTACTGCCGCCAGTATAGCCGCGACGAGTAGTCTACGTCCTTCCTCCGTCCCAAGTGTTCCGGTCTCACCGGGATCGTCCCGGTGCGACATACTGGTCCCGGTGTCCCGTTAAGAGTCCAGAAAGTCCCGGTCGTAACATTTTTCAGCCATATTTTACAATTTACATCAGTAAAATACTAAATTTGCCGTGGTTGTTGATGTACTTTGATTCCAGCGAACAATAAAAGGCATAAATTAACATAAATTTGCATTATATTTTACATGTATACTTTATAAAAAATGGTGGTGCGCCGCGACAAACACATGTCGCAGCCCGTCACAACTTTTTTGTTGAGGCAAAAGGAGGATCTATGTAGGAGTTATCCTAGCATAGATTTATATGATAACATTCCATCAGTTGACATCATGTAAGAAATCGGAAAAAGACCTTGCATGTAAGGTCCTCGCTGCGTATACCAGCCAGTACACAATCTGGCTACGTTAGTGTGTTAGCGCATGCGCAATATCTCACCAGGGGAGTTATATTTTGTAATGAATATACATTTGAAATGGTTAAGGGATATCTCAGCATAGATTTTCCTAATAAACCTTTATCAGTAGATCTGTGTTTATAATAAGGAGGGCGCCCTCGCATGTTGGGTACAAAACACCTACTTTATGCCCTCACATCCATCCCCTTGCCTCCCATGTTCCTCGTTCAGCCTCCTTCTTCATCTACCGCCCCCAGCTATTTTCCCTGCCGTCTTTCCTCGGTCCCCCATCCCCTCTCCCCAGCAGCAAGCTATATTATGAAGTTTTTGTCTGACGGCACTGAATGCCTAACACGGTGCGCGCGCATGCGCATTATCTCCCGAGAGAAATCGTATTTTGCAAAGATTATGCATTTAAAATTAAGAGGAGTTATCCTAGCATAGATTTATATGATAACATTCCATCACTAGACATCATTTAATAAATAGGAGAAAGACCTAGCATGTAAGGTCCCCGCTGCGTATACCAGCCAGTACACAGTCTGGTTACGTTAGTGTGTTAGCGCATGCGCAATATCTCACCAGAGGAGTTATATTTTGTGATGAATATGCATTTAAAATGGTTATGGGGTATCTCAGCATAGTTTCCGTAATAAACCTTTATCAGTAGACCTGTGTTTATAATTAGGAGAGCGCCCGAGCACGTAGGGTACAAAACACCTAGTTTATGCCCTCGCGTCTTTCCTCTTGCTTCCCCTATCCTTCGCTCAGCCTCCTTCTTCTTCTACCGCCCCCAACTATCTTCCCTGCCGCCTTTCCTCAGTCTCCCATCTCCTCTTCCCCGCAGCAAGCTATATTATGAAGTTCGACTCAGACGGCACTGCACGCCTAGCACGGTGCGCACGCATGCGCAATAGCTACCGAGAACAATCTATTTTGCAAAGATTATGCCTTTATAACGAAGAGGAGTTATCCTAGCATAGATTTATATAATAACATTCCACCAGTTGACATCATTTAAGAAATAGGAGGAAGACCTTGAATGTAAGGTCCCCGCTGCATATACCAGTCAGTACATGACCTGGCTACGTTGGTGTGTTAGCGCATGCGCAATATCTCACCGGAGGAGTTATATTTTGTGATGAAAATGCATTTAGTATGATCAGGGGATATCTCAACAGAGGTTTCTGTAATAAATTATTATCAGTAGTTCTCTGTTTATAGTTAGGAGAGCGCCCTAGCCTGTAGGGTGCAAAACTCCTACTTTATCCAGCCCGCCCTACCCTTCGTCTCCATCGTCGCATGTTCAGCCTCCTTCTCCTTCCATCGTCCCTCGACTTTATTCCCTGCCACCTTCCTTCCGTTTCCCACCCCTCTTTCCCTCAGCAAACTATATTCACATACTTTTCCTTTGCCCGTACTGCACGTCTGAAACGGTGCTCGCACATGCGCAATATCTCCCGAGAAGATTAATATTTTGCAAACATTGTGAATTGCAATTGAAGAGGGGTTACCCTAGCTAGCATAGATTTATATGATAAAATTTCATCAGTATACCTCACTTCAGAAATAGGAAGCAGACCTTCCATGTAAGGTCCCCGTTGCATATATCAGTCAGTACATAACCTGGCTGTGTTACTGTTTTAGCGCATGCGCAATATCTCACCAGAGGAGTTATATTTTGTGATTAAAACGCATTTACTATGGTCAGCGGATATCTCAACATAGGTTTCTGTAATGAATTATTATCAGTAGACATGTGTATATAGTGAGGAGAGCGCCTTAGCCTGTAGGGTGCAAAACTCCTACTTTATCTCTCCCACCCTTCCCTTTGTCTCCATTGTCGCACGTTCAGTCTCCTTCTCCTTTCATCGCCCCTCGACTTTCTTCCCTGCCACCTTCCCTCCGTTTCCCACCCCTCTTTCCCTCAGCAATCTATATTCACGTACTTTTCCTTTGCCCGCACTGCACGTCTGAAACGCTGCTCGCGCATGCGCAATATCTCCCGAGAATATTAATATTTTGAAATGAAGAGGGGTTATCCTAGCATAGATTTATATGATAACATTTCATCAGTATACCTCACTTCAGAAATAGGAAGCAGACCTTGCATGTAAGGTCCCCGCTGCATATACCAGCCAATACATAATCTGGCTACGTTTCTGTTTTAGCGCATGCGCAATATCTCACCAGAGGAGTTATATTTTGTGATTAAAACGCATTTAGTAACATACCGTTTGACGGCGGATACCATCCTCCCAGCTTCTCCCGGGCCGCTTCGCTCCATCGCAAGCTCTTGATCCACGTCTGGTCCCCCCACTTTAATGGATTTGCGTCCCTGACCACTCACATACACACACACACACACACACACACACACACACACACACACACACACACACACACACACACACACACACACACACACACACACACACACACACACACACAC